AAGCCATCTGTGATAATGCATGGAGCATGCGCAGTGAATAGGTTCGCGCAGATTGGAAGCGGGATGTCCGGGTTATAAGGTCGTAAGCAGGAGTAGTCTAATCTTGGTTGTGTACACAAACAACAAATAGTAAATAATCTACTCGTTATATAAAAGAACCTTGTTCAGGATCTAGATCTACTCAGCTATGTCAACCAGTGAGGCGTTGGACATTTCAAGACGGAAAACCTTCGCTGGCGGTGAGTACTCGGAGTAGGCTTTGATGTGAGCTATTTTTCTAATGTTTTGTTGATATTTCACAGGCGCGAACTTTTTATATGTTATGACAGTAGATTACCGATTTAACTGTTTGTATAATTGCATTTCCCCACACGTTCTTCTTACCGAGTCACTTTCTCGGTTCGATACTTAAAAGCAACGTCATTATTCAGCATTGTCAGAATTTCTAACTGTCATATAGATGTGCTTCTGTCACAGACAAAACTCAATGTCTGTTTTAACAACACCTATGTGTCTGCCTGCCTATCTGCTAATGACAATATTCAATACACAACTTCGATCAGTGACCACATGCAATTTGAACTTAACACCTATCAAGCTATACACCATAAACAAAACGCATTGATTTATGACTCGTGCACCCGAGTTCTGTCTCTGTCACATTATGTAATTACACAGACAGGCAGGTGTGATTCTTGTACACATGACATGTTATGACAGTATACCTGTGTCTGTGACATGTTGATTGCAAAATGTTATACACAAAAATTGAGCATGCATTTACAAACCCACCATCTTTATACACACACAAAGAGCCCTGAGTGTATCGGCAAATGAACCAGCCAATGAAAGCCTTCGTTACACTTAAGTCCACGCCCACCCGCTCTGACTGGGTTCGGTATCCCGGGTGCTTCGTTTCGAGGGAAGTAAACCCAAGTACAAAATATTGCACTTTTGATTTGCGATTGTACACTTATAATTTTGATTATTTGGGTTTTTTCATAATCAGCAATGTATATTATGTGTCATGAATAAGTGATAATTGTGTTTTAATTATGTTTGATTTTTTGGTTGCATGTGACCTTTAACTCAGTCAGTGACAGGCAGAAGAAAAAACAATATTACAAAACCACAATCTGCGCTTTTTTTCATACAAGAAGCACCCCTAAATTCGAATTACACCTATCATAAAAAAAGACAGAAATAAGAATTGCATGATATGACATAAAATGTAGCAATTCGATTGGTATAAAACTTCTCAGTTTCAAAGCAGTTCTTTTTTCAAAGATGATATTCCTTTTAACTTTTATCCCAGCGAAGTCAGAGTTCTGAGTGGGTTTGTATTCATAGTCCCGTAATAAATATCCAACAAATGACAAGAGAATATGATTTGCCGCCCCATAGAACCGTTTTCTGTGTAATGAAAGTAGCGTCGAGTTTCAAAGCAAAGAGAGAGTTGCGTGCAGTCTTCACCGAGTGTTACGGGGCACGAGGCCCACAGAACGAGGCAATAATGAATTTATTAGAATAGGAAATAATACCCCGATGCAAAAAGATTGACCGTCTTTGTAGCAGCAAACTGACATGATTTGCAGCATATCCACAAAGTGTCACAAGGCGAACAGACTGATTTAGGGAGTTAGATGTTGTTTTCTTCTCGTTACAACCCAATTTGGAAGAAGTGTACAGTTGCATGTTGTCGCCATGTCGTCTTGTTAGGTCGTCGAGGTAGTAACGGGCGATTGAAGGGGATAAAGTCAGAAGAGGTAGACTGGTGGTGGGTGATGTGAACACCTTCAGAAGAGGTAAACTGGTGGTGGGTGATGTGAACACCTTTAGAAGAGGTAAACTGGTGGTGGGTGGCGTGAACACCTTTAGAAGAGGTAAACTAGTGGTTGCTGATGGGAACACCTTTAGAAGACGTAAACTGGTGGTGGGTGATGTGAACACCTTTAGAAGAGGTAAACTGCTGGTGGGTGATGTGAACACCTTTAGAAGAGTTAACTGGTGGTTGGTGGCGTGAACACCTTTAGGAGAGGTAACACACTCACCTGGAATAAATGTCAATCTTTGTACTGAATGTACATATGTTGAACCGAATCCGAACAGTTTATTTTACATTTATGTTGATATATCACATATCGCTGCCTCGAAGTGGGAGTAATATGTACACGTGTACAATATATCAGTATTCCCAGACAACAAGAAAATTCTTGTGTTTAGCATTTCTTTCTGGAAACAAATATCATATTTTATCATACAATGGATAGCGTTCTCGGCAGGATAGAGACAACGGATATTTTCGGTTTCTCGCCAAATAAATACAACACTATATACAATGTTTATTTCTTATGCAGGATATCAACCATCCCAAAACACACTCGCGTGATAACCTATATTGTTCTGGCAAGTGATATTAATAGTAATAGATTAAACCAGGGTACGTAACCAGGATGCGGTAACTGGAGAATGGAATAAACGTCAAATTAGTCGGTAAGATTTCAATTTCAAGAAATCATGACAAAAAGATCACGTGGACGACCTACCCTGCGGGGGTCATCACATTCTGAAGTTCATATCATGACATATCATATTTTCCATTCAAAAGGGAACACGTGATCCTGCCAAACTAAATGACCTAGTTCATTGCATGACAGATTAACGGAATTATCAAGATATGATCGAATAGGATGTAATGGATTGAGTTTTACCATTATTGAGTAGTAAATATATATGAATCGTTTGTCAACCCCAAGAGCATATGTTAGAGGCTCCCTGAACTGTTCAGCAGGAATCCCTGCGGATAGTTATCAGGGGCCCATATGGTCATACAGCTGCTGAAATTGGTTGCCATAGTTTCCCGTCACTCAGGCTATCGAACACTGGTCCAAGTCCGGTAACTTGTTGTAGATGGTGATGTTGCTCAACGTGCACAGTTGCCGTCCTTAGACAGCCCGGATCCTATAATCTTGGATGATGTGAGATCTCTCTCTCACAAACACACACACACACACAGTGAGAGAGAGAGAGAGAGAGAGAGAGAGAGAGAGAGAGAGAGAGAGAGAGAGAGAGAGAGAGAGAGAGAGAGAGAGAGAGACAGACAGACAGACAGACAGACACAGAGACAGAGACAGAGACAGAGACAGAGACAGAGAGACAGAGACAGAGACACACACAAACAAACACACACACACGTGAAGATCTGGATCATCTGGCTTGGGTCTTCATCAAGCCATACTTGTCGCGTGAAGGGCTACGAATGATCGGCGGTGGTTGCTAACTGGAATAATGCATGTCAATGTGACTAAGGTGCTCAGATCGGTACTCATCACGTCAATCACTGGATCGCCTGGACTTAAAAAGATCCCAGGCTGCTGTCCAATAGATGAAATATTACTGAGGGCAACATAAAACGATAAAGAAAGAAAGAAAGAAACAACATCACACCCTGGCTCTGAGGGCCTACACCACTCTTCTATATCATCTCTTTTTGAAATACTATTAATCCCAGCTCATTCTCCCCTCCTCAGCTATGGTAGAAGCAGGTCTAAGCTGGACCAATATCTGTCCGAGTCGGCCAGTCGTCATCACTCATCCCTTTGTGTAGCCTGCAGTAAGATTTGTAGATCTACCGATCCGTATTATGCGAAAAAAACCTGACAAACCAATCAGAATGCGCAAATGATTATCTGTTCTTTGGTCAAAGGATTAATTCGATAAAAATGGCCCCGGGAGGCACCCGAGTCGCCATTCAGGTTGTTCCGGAATAAAACGAATGGTCACGAATGCGGATCGGCGTCATGGCCGACTCTGAACCATATCCATCTGACGACACTGACTGTAGAATTCATTACAGACAAGACTGATGCGTCACACATTAACAATACTCCGTCTCGTTTTCTCGTGACTAAAGAATCAAAGGTCCCCCTCTCGGGATTTGTACTGAACCTAAGTACCAGTTCTGCTGACGCGGGAACTATATTCACTGGTGTAGGGATACACCAAGACTTAGTTATTCCACCGTGGCACGCGAACTAAAGATCAAAATGTTGCTTTGGACGGCTGTAGTTTCTCTCTCATCGGAGTTTGTAATGAAACGATTGCCTCGTGGAAATATTAACCTCTGTATGGGAAGAAATAGAAGACATTTTGGGTAAACGTGAATAAGAACCCGACACAAAGCTTTCTTCAACTTTTTAACCGCTGCTTGTACTTGTCAGGAACCCAGATTGCCAGCCAAAGAAAAATATTCATAATTCATCTTTTTGCCATTCAATTAAACAATACATACATATAAGATTTTACACCCACCGAGTGGACATTTCCAATTCTTCATGGGCGTCGGAGACGGTTAGTATGATTGCTGTCGTGTATTGTAACCTGCTGCCAGAAGCGTGTCTTTAATAGATAAATGTATATTTATAATTTAATTACAAACGCTGCCATTGACGGACTTATCTACATAATGCACCAACTCGGTTTCATGAATAAATCTATTTAAGACAAATATTATGTGTCTAGACTTCTCGATGGCAGCAGCAGACCAAGTCTCGGTGTGCGTCCAGCTGGGGTAGGGCGTCCGGGCTTGATTCCCGGCTACTGCTACTCCTCCTCCTACTACTACTACTTCTGCTACTACTACTACTCCTACTACTACTACTACTACTACTACTACTACTGCTGCTGCTACTACTGCTACTACTACCACTACTACTACTACTGCTACTACTGCTGCTGCTACTGCTGCTGCTGCTACTGCTGCTGCTACTACTGCTACTGCTACTGCTGCTGCTGCTACTGCTGCTGCTGCTGCTGCTGCTGCTACTACTGCTGCTGCTGCTACTGCTACTACTGCTACTACTGCTACTGCTGCTGCTGCTGCTGCTACTGCTACTACTACTGCTACTGCTGCTGCTGCTGCTGCTGCTGCTGCTGCTACTGCTGCTGCTGCTGCTACTACTGCTGCTGCTGCTGCTGCTGCTGCTGCTGCTGCTGCTGCTGCTGCTACTGCTACTGCTACTGCTGCTGCTGCTGCTGCTGCTGCTGCTGCTGCTGCTACTACTGCTGCTGCTGCTGCTGCTGCTGCTGCTGCTGCTGCTGCTGCTGCTGCTGGGCTGCTGCTGCTGCTCAATGCTGCTGCTGCTGGTGCTGCTGCTACTGCTGCTGCTGCGGAGACCGTTCACGTCATTAACAGTACAGTTTCAATGGAAGCTAGTTAAAGAATATCTTTCTTCATTAACACAGCATAATGTCCAGGTACGACTCGGCTCGTACTAAATATGTACTGTTTCGGAATGTCAGATGTTGGTGAGATGACTACATCAGTGTTTGCAAGGTGCCACTGCTGGTGTCTAGTGGAAATCGGCACTGGTGGGGACCATTAGGAAGACTTTATATGCAGATTGGAAATAGTATGGCCGTCCCCTAGGGCGTTACTGGACCTAACAGAAACAGTAGGTCGCCAGTTACTGAAAGGTCTATTAGTTTTCAGCAGACAGTACACTACCAAGTCTTCAGTACACCGGTAAAGTCATAAATCGTTTTAGTGTAGAACATAGAAAGTAACGGCACTTGCGATAAATCCTCTGAATGAGTGAGTGAGTGAGAGTGAGTGAGTGATCGGGTTTAGCACCACTACCTAAAGCATGTTGCGAGGCTGCTTGATGTGCATCCCCGATTATCTAGGGTGTGTTAATTTCGTGTTATTACAACAGATAACCTGGATCCATAACCCTGGATCATTTTAGAAACTTTCCTTTAAAAAAATAAATTTGAAGCACGCATGTTAAATACCGCAGACATTTTAGTAATTCTTGGATTAAAATCCCATGTAAAGGAGATTGAGGCATACCCAAAGGGTCAATAAATATACTTCCCATCAAAAGTTTAGACTATATGTTACTCACTATATGTTATGTGTATATATATGGTTACATCGAAGATTGATTTCTCCACTAATTTGGGGCAACATCCTGGAAACATAATGCAGATGAATTGCACGAGGATCATGCATCAAATTGCTGAAAAGCATGTGCAAATATCCTGCCTGTGAACAGCTGCGTTTTGGTGTAAAGTTTTGTGAAAAAAAATCGCCAATTTTTTACTGTTTTTGTTTTTTATCATTTATTGAACTCATGACAATAATCTTTTCAACGTTACGAGTTTGTTTTACAATACATCAATTCATGTGTAAACAGTATAATAACAATATGAAATATTTTGCAAAATGTAGGTTAGAACAGTTGCCTGAAGTAAGTGCCTGAAGTAAGTGGCTATATTTACACTAGTGAGTCTAAACTTTTGATGGGAAGTATATTTCATGGGTTTTGTGTTGATGTGACCAACTATCAGTGTGGAGTGTACAGGGACCCGTCCACAAAGCGTTCGTAACGTTACGACCTTTCGTAACTCTATAGTTTATCATAGGCTTACGGGTGACGTAGTGCTACGAATGCTTTGTGGACCCAGACCCCAGACTCTTTAGTCTATTACAAATATCGGGTGAAGACGGGCAGATGGCTGATGGACAGTGCCATTCATACGTAGACATGATCGTAACTTGAAATGACGGCGAATGGATACACGTGAGATAGTCCCATAAAGGGCGTGGTCGATGTTCACGTGACCTTGTTCGAAGAAACGCTTCCCTGTGACAGTCAGATGACCGACGTGACACGATCCGACAGTAATAGTGCCCCTTGAAGAACATTTCGCCAATTTACAACATTATCATTGTCATGCTATAAAAAGAAATAATTTTGCCGTGAAAAAGCATTTGAACGCATATTTTACCACCTTGGAGCCGGTATTGTTCTCCTATCAAGGTTTGACTGTAAATATATCATTTCGAGCGGAGGTTTGCCGGCTATTTTGACAGCCGCGGTGTAAGGGGATGATATTAACCCGCGCGTCCTGAGTCTACGAGATGGTTCCTGGGGAGAAGATGACGCCGGTTCTGGACCACCCCCGTCAGTGGAGAGACGCCGGGTGCACTGCCGGTGAGGATTGTGCCGTTACGGGTGGTGCACCCAGTCGGCAGGAAACAGACAGGAATGTGTCACGTTCCCTGATTTGTCAACAGCATTCAGCTCCACTGAACGGGACACGGTTCCGTGGTGGTGTGGAGTTTAAATGTGATGTGGTATTGGCCACATCGTGTAGCGTTGTACTTCACAATGAGATAGTTATCTATTGCATGTCGTTGTTAGGTATGGGGTTAAACAGTTGTAGATTTAAAAAAACAGCAGAAAACTAAATTTGAAACAGCCGTGTCCACCCATATTAATTAGGGTCAAGCATGGGAGAGGCTAAAGGGGACGAATAATGCTCCATCAACCTCATCGTCTTCCTCGTAGTGTGATAAGGAAAAAGGGGTTTTAATAATGTGAAGTGATTCTCACGTAGTTAGTGATAGGCACCCACTGGTCTGTGACACCACACTGACATTTCGGTCTTGAATTTGAAGACGCCAAAATGACGCTTAATAATACTGGGTTCTGATAGAAGTAGGGTTATTTGCAATATAATCTGGTTCGAGGGTACAGTTCGAGATAATAGATATTTTGAGACAGGGGTGTCAAACTAATGTTGTGGTAGCCTAGTTCGGGTCATCAATATTTCGAGATAAGGGGTTATATGAAGTGTATATGAAGTGTAGTACCCAGTGTATACGGTATTATATCCCTGTTTCATTATGTTAATTACAGTAGACCATACACTGCCATAGCTTCGCTTGAAACCCCAAACCATCATCTAATCAAAATATGCCAAAACCAACCAATCCAATCACAATGAGAGCGAGGATAATTGCGTAATTCTTTGAGGGTGAGTGAGTGAATGATTGGTTGTGGTGTTTCGCCGCTTTTAGAAATATTCCAGCAATATCACGGGGAGGTGTGTGTGTGTGTGTGGAGGGCGAGCTGGTGACAAAACCTACGAAGAAGTGGCGAATGGGTCAAGGTATTTATTACAGTAGAACAGATAATACCCAGGGTAGTCGAGGATGGACGTAGAGTCATGGTCTAGTTCTTAGTCGTTATCTTGACAGGTGTATCATATGAGACGCCTGGCTTGGTAATGTGTTGCTAGGGTAGCTGGAATCAATTATTTCTTTTGCAGTTTATTAAATGTATATTTCTTCTGGCCCTTTTTTTTATTGCTGCACATTTTGTCACGTCTTGTCCCGGTTTACTCAAGATCACACCCGGACAATACCTCACTGCTGTGGAAACTGAATATTCTAACACTACAGATATACAGAGCATCACGGTGGGTTTAAATATCTTGTCAGCATGTTGTTGTCAATCACACAGGTAATCGCCCGGTTAAAGATCATCCGGGATTTCTTCCTGGGTGTTCCATTCCAAGTTTTAGGGGTGGTGGAGTGGAACCGTGTCAACATTCAAGATGACAGGGGTGAAGGGTGGCGGGGTGCGTGCCACTCAGATATTACCAGACGTGACATTTCCATTGAAAACGGTCTGCTGAACCCAATAATGTCTTCACATTTAGCTGAGATTGGAACCTATAGTGACGGTGAATAGTTAGCCGATGACTCCTGCCTGTAGCGGGGTCGAATCCCGCTTGTGGCGAGAGGTTGCAGGTGTCATATTCTGCATATGTCAATGATGATTTTACCGCAGCACATACTATACCCAGTGCACTTTTACAACCACGTTGATGAATTTCGGTTGCCGAGTGAGTGATTCGAGACATGCGTACAGTTGGCAATGGCAGCCTATACTGTCAGGATTATACACAGGGAAACACATTAACGTCTTTAACTTCGACTCGTAGTGTGAAGATCCGGGTTAGAATTGGTCTTCAGCAACCCATGCTTGTCGTAAGAGGCGACTAACGGGATAGGGTGGTCAGGCTCGCTGACTTGGTTGACACGTCCGCCATTTAGATGGAATATTGCTGAGAGCGCCATATAGATGGAATATTGCTGAGAGCTGAGTTAAACTACAACCAAACCTAAACCTGTAACTTCAGATGTAGTGGGTTCGAATCCCGCTTCGACCCGATTCTATTTCAAGGTTTGTCGGGGCCATCCCCGTACACTTAGATTTTATGACGGTGGTAAACGTCCTCCCTCCCAAGCAATATTCCGGCTACATGGCGGCGGTCTGTAAATAATCGAGTCTGGACCAGACAATCCAGTGATCAACAGCATGAGCATCGACCTACGCCATTGGGATACCATGACATGTGTCAACCAAGTCAGTGAGCCTGACCACCCGAACCTTAGTCGCCTCAAACGACAAGCATGGGTTCCTGAAGATCAGTTCTAACCTGACACGCTGTGATGTAATTTATCATGCGGGGTTAAATAATATAAATATTGAAAATATCGGCACCTTGTGAAAGGTTTTACCAGGACATGTGTGTTCCTCCAGTTGGAAATATGGCCTAGGAAGCAGTGAGAATATCATTATATTCATTTTAGTTGAATAGTTTCCAAACACTTTCTTGTATAGGCGACTTCGGCTGTTCTATATAAGTCGATATATGTGATATTCTGTAAGGCAAATAGTAGACCCGTGGACAGATACCCAAATATACAATACCCTGGATGAGATTCCTCAAAGTAGGCGGTTCACGTTCGTCATATTTTAGAACATGATAACATGACAGCTTAATTGCCCTGTATATCATAACAGTACATACAGAACCGACAAGAAGAAACAGCTGCCGACGAGTCAAAAATCGTTCAGTCGTGCCAAATGTTTTTAATACGGCGATTATTTAAACCTATCATGCCCAAGCCTGTGTACCCGTATTGAAAAGAACGTTCATTTGTTCTCTACCCGAATCTCTGCTGCATCGGCATTTGTTTATGTGATCATCCACCCTGAATATATCGCGTCATTAAACACAGCCACGACTGAGATACCCCGATTCCACCCGAGGCGTTAACACTTATTGTTCAATAAACATTACCTCGGGTGTCCTTAGGGCGTTTGTTCAATGTTCTTTAATGGTGTAATAATCATAAAGCGAACACAATTTTGAATGATATCAACAACCGCGATACTGTTCTTTAGGAATCCAGACGGTCGATCGTAAAGAGACAGGAATTACCTGAAATTGCACTTTGTTAAAAAATATGTATCAACTATGCATACTCATTTATCAGCTTCGTTAAATTATTTTTATGTTATTGTTTTGCATACTCTTTATGTTAAAGTGTAATGATAATCTTGAAAATTGGACATGAGCACAACATAAAACTGTTTTTATTACTTCTTTATGTAGCATATAGAAGCTGGTGTTAGAAAAGAGGAACAAATTTAATACAACTTCTTTATTGCAATAGTTGTGACGTTTTTGTGTAGATGTTAACACAGTTGTCAAGCATGTGACCGTTACCAAGCACGTGGTGACTGGCTTGATAACGGTACCCGTTATGAGCATCTACATCGAAACGTCCCATCTATTGCAGTAAAAAGGTTGTCAATACACAAAACGTGTTCCACCCCCTTCGTCGCGTTTCTATTACGTTGATACGCAGCGACGGCGACAGGCACAGCTACGATAAGGAACGTCTCCATTCAGGATCAGCTGTGTCAGTTGTAGAAGTGTCGTCGCCGAGGCGCCTTAAACCACCCGATCACGACCACTCCCCCTTGGGATCTGGTTCTGTGGGAGTCAGGACCGGGGTATTCACAATCCTTAGCTGGACGACAGGGTGGACACAAGTTAATCCCCACACAGGCAGGGACCCCAGACACATCTGTCTGCTGAGATGGAGTGAGTGAGGGTTTATATTTTACATCGCTTCTGTCACTGCCCCCTCAATGTTACACCGGGGGACACGAAGAATGAGCTCACCCGTCATACCAGACTTCGCTGTGGCGGAAAGTAAAGATATAAGCGATGTACTGAAGTTATACAGTTTGTTTGTTGTTTTACGCCGCACTCAGCAATATTCTAGTTATATGGCGGCGGTCTGTGGATAATCGACTCTAGTCTGGACCAGACAGTCCAGTGATCACCATCAGGAACATGAATCTACGCAATAGGGATGCGATGACATGTGTCAACAAAGTCAGGGAGCCTGACCACCCGATCCCGTTGACTATAACGGCTCCTAACAGTATGCCAGTGTCAGCAAAGCGTGTGATAAACCCTAGAAGTGATGCCGGTGCCAGACATTGACCACGTTACACACACGGGCCCATGTGTTGTACTGACCAGTATGAAGTGTACTATAGTACCGTACTGTTCCTGGTGTACTCTGGTACGTGAGGAAAATCCGTCTAAACTCCACCCACCTCACAAAATTGTTCAAAATTCTCAGTTTTCTATCTTCGTTTGTACTAATCATTGGTGACACGCTTTGTAGTGAACTTGAAAATCTCATGAAATTTTATCAAATGCACCTATCAATTATTAAATGACTAGCGCGGATTAATGTTCGTTTCAATTTCCGACAAACGGCATTGAACACATTTGCCCCCATACAAACCGCTGACAATCAGCCTAGACGTATCACTGCTGTATCCTTGCTCCTTGGCCGTGTCACCGCCTCGGGAGAGGGTGTGTAGATGCGGGCTAAATAGTTCCTTCTCGTGAGACCTGAGGGAGGATGGGGGCTGCACAATACATATCCCTCTCGTTGTCAAGTGCTTGTGAGGAAGGCTTGTGCTGCCCCATTGAAACCCTCTCCAGCCATGGAGATCTTTGTCAAATATTAAATACAGGCAGAAAACACCCCGAGGTGGATCCAGCCTGTATACCCTGTCCCTAACCCTCGAGCCCGAAACTAGAACATATTAAATTTCATTCTTAAGAAATCAGCGTTCTCTCGAGCTCACGGGATTCTTGAGCAGTTTATTTACCAATCGAATAGCAATGTACTATTGTCGGGATATCTCTCATCTCTTGACATTGTAAAATATTTGAAAATATTCTTTCATAACATGTAGTGTAGCCCGGGGGTAAGTTCATCCAAGTCTCCCCAGTCTTTGTGTAGGGGCCTTTATAGTCAGAGCTTTCATTGTATCGTCCTGCTCAGACACACAAATAGGTATATGGGATATTTGACGAACTGTGGGCGTCCGTATAGACTTGTGTAGAATAGCAGATGAATGGGACTCAGAGCGGTGCTTCACATCCAGTGTACACCGCGGCAGAGGAAATATTGCAGCAGTTTTTTTGCTGATGTCCCGCATATGGTTAGCGAGACGCTGATTAGTGAAATGTTTTTAATGTTTTAATGTAGTGGTTGTGTAGCTATATGCGACGTCAGACTGGAATATCGGCTTGTGTGGACGCGGCCATGCCCAGCGTGTAGTGTGGCACTGGGGCGACACATCTACAAGCTGCTCCCTCCATACTACATTGTGTTGTGTGTTCCCCAAGAGTGGCATAACTTGGAGTGATCGGTGAATGTTAAAACAGATTTAAAGTGGGTTTTTGAAAAAACAATTGAAGCATGTACGCATGTATTAGTTTTTTTTATGACTCAATTAAACATGTTCAAGATTCATCTTCTCCTTCATTCACTGACCGCATTTTCTCTCTCTGACATTCCTCATCCCGACGACGCTTCTTCCTCTCGCTAACGAAGCTCCCCTTTTACACAACGATGCTTCTTCCTCTCCTCCTAACGACACTTCTTCCTCTTCTGATAACGATGCTTCTTCCTCTCCTGATAACGATGCTTCTTCCTCTCCTGTCAACGATGCTTTTTTCTCTCCTGCTAACGATGCTTCTTCCTCTTCTGCTAACGATGCTTCCTCCCCTCCAGCTAACGATGCTTCCTCCTATCCTGCTAACGATGCTTCTTCCTCTCCTGCTAACGATGCTTCTTCCTCTCCTGCTAACGATGCTTCTTCCTCTTCTGCTAACGATGCTTCCTCCCCTCCTGCTAACGATGCTTGTTCCTGTTCTGCTAACGATGCTTCTTCCTCTCCTGCTAACGATGCTTCTTCCTCTCCTGCTAACGATGCTTCCTCCCATCCTGCTAACGATGCTTGTTCCTGTTCTGCTTACGATGCTTCCTCCCCTCCAGCTAACGATGCTTCCCCCCCTCCTGCTAACGATGCTTCTTCCTCTCCTGCTAACGATGCTTCTTCCTTTCCTGCTAACGATGCTCCTTCCTCTCCTGCTAACGATGCTTCTTCCTCTCCTGCTAACGATGCTTCCTCCCTCCTGCTAACGATGCTTGTTCCTGTTCTGCTAACGATGCTTCCTCCCTCTCCAGCTAACGATGCTTCCTCCTAACGATGCTCCTGCTAACGATGCTTCTTCCTCTCCTGCTAACGATGCTTCTTCCTCTCCTGCTTACGATGCTTCTTCCTCTCCTGCTAACGATGCTTCTTCTCCTTCCTCTCCTGCTAACGATGCTTCTTCCTTAACTCCTCCTGCTAACGATGCTTCTTCCTCCTGCTAACGATGCTTCTTCCTCTTCTGCTAACGATGCTTCTTCCTCTTCCTGCTAACGATGCTTCTTCCTCTTCTCCTGCTAACGATGCTTCTTCCTCTCCTGCTAACGATGCTTCTTCCTCTTCTGCTAACGATGCTTCTTCCTCTCCTTCTAACGATGCTTCTTCCTCTTCTGCTTCTAACGATGCTTCTTCCTCCTTCTAACGATGCTTCTTCCTCTCCTTCTAACGATGCTTCTTCCCCTCCTTCTAACGATGCTTCTTCCTCTTCTGCTAACGATGCTTCTTCCTCTTCTGCTAACGATGCTTCTTCCTCCTCTGCTAACGATGCTTGTCCTTCCTCTCTGCTAACGATTTGTCCCTCCTTCCCTAACTTTTCCTCTCTAACTGCTAACGATGCTTCCCTCCTTCTTCAACATTAACTCTTCTGCTAACGATGGCTTCTTCTCCTCTTCTGCTAATTCTTCCTGCCTTCCTTCGATCTTCTTCCTCTTCTAACGATGCTTCTTCTCCTGCTCCTCTAACTTGATGCTTCTTCCTCTCTTCTAACGATGCTTCTTCCTCTTCTGCTAACGATGCTTCTTCCTCTCCTTCTAACGATGTTCTTCCCCTCTTCTTCTTTGTCTTCTGTCTATCCTCCTACTGTCCTTCGATGCTTCTTCCTCTTCTGCTAACGATGCTATTTCTTTCCTTCTTCCTCCTGCTAACTTGATGCTTTCTTTCCTCTTCTTCTTTGCTTCTTCCTCTTCCTGATGTTCTTCCTCCTCCTCGATGCTTCTTCCTCTTCCTGCTAACGATGCTTCTTCCTCTTCTCCTCTTCTTCCCTCTTCTACTTCTTCCTGCTTCTTCCTCTCTTCTGCGATCCTTCTTCCTCTTCTTCTTCTTCCTCTTCTCTTCTTCTGCTTCTTCCTTCTTCTTCTTCTGCTAACGTGCTTCTTCCTCTTCTGCTAACTCCTGATGCTTCCTCTCCGATGCTTCTTCCTCTTCTGCTAACGATGCTTCTTCCTCTTCTGCTAACGATGGTCTTCTCTCCTGCTCCTGATGCTTCTTCCTCTCCTTCTAACGATGCTTCTTCCTCTTCTGCTAACGATGCTTCTTCCTCTTCTGCTAACGATGCTTCTTCTCTTCTTTGGTCCTGCTAACCTGCCTGTCTTCTTCCTCTTCCTTCTAACGATCTTCTTCTGCTAACGATTCTTCTTCCTCCTCCTGCTAACGATTGGCTTCTTCCTCCCTCTTCTTGTCTGCCTCTCCTTCTTTGGATGGCTTCTTCCTCTTCTTTGTGCTTCTTCCTCTTCTGTGCTCTTCTTCCTTTCCTTCTAACGATGCTTTTGATGCTTCTTCCTCTTCTGCTGGTGATGCTTCTTCCTCTTCTGCTAACCTCTTCTGATGCTCTTCTGCTCCTTCTTCCTCTGATGTTCTTCTTCCTCTTCTGTGGTCTTCCTCTTCTGTGCTTCCTCCTCTTCCTGTTTGGTCTTCCTTCTTCCTGTGGTCATGTCCTTCTTCCTCTTCTGTGATTCTTCTTCCTGTTTGGTCTTCCACGATGCTTCTTCTTCTTCCTTCTAACGATTCTTCTTCCCTTCTTCCTTCTCTGCTGATGCTTCTTCCTCTTCTGCTAACGATTTGGTTCTTCCTCTTCTGCTAACTTCTTCTTCCTCTCCTGGTCTTCTTCCTCTCCTTCTGTGCTCTTCCTCTTCTTTCTTCCTTCTCTTCTGGTCCTTCTTCCTCTTCTGCTAACGATGCTTCTTCCTCTTCTGCTAACTTTCTGATGCTTCTTCCTCTTCTGCTAACGTGATGCTTCTTCCTCTCCTGCTAACGATGCTTCTTCCCTCCTTCTTGTCTTCGATCTTCTTCTTCCTCTCCTGCTTCTGATGCTTCTTCCCTCCTTCTCTGATGCTTCTTCCTCTCTTCTGCTAACGATGCTTCTTCCTCCTGCTAACTGCTTCTTCCTCTTCTGCTAACGATGCTTCTTCCTTCCTCTGCCTTCCCCTCCTTCTAACGATGCTTCTTCCTCTCCTTCTAACGATGCTTCTTCCTCTTCTGCTAACGATGCTTCTTCTTCCTCTCTGCTAACTCTTCCCCTTTGATTCTAACGATGGCTCTTCCTCTTCTGCTAATTCTTCTTCCTCTCCTTCTGTGATCCTTCTGCTCTTCTCTAACGATGCTTCTTCCTCTCCTGCTAACGATGCTTCCCCTCCTCCTCTGCTAACGATGCTTCTTCCTCTTCTGCTAACGATGCTTCTTCCTCTTCTGCTAACGATGCTTCTTCCTCTCCTGCTAACGATGCTTCTTCCTCTCCTGCTAACGATGCTTCTTCCTCTTCTGCTAACGATGCTTCTTCCTCTTCTGCTAACGATGCTTCTTCCTCTCCTGCTAACGATGCTTCTTCCTCTCCTGCTAACGATGCTTCTTCCTCTTCTGCTAACGATGCTTCTTCCTCTTCTGCTAACGATGCTTCTTCCTCTTCTGCTAACGATGCTTCTTCCCCTCCTTCTAACGATGCTTCTTCCTCTTCTGCTAACGATGCTTCTTCCTCTTCTGCTAACGATGCTTCTTCCCTCTTCTGCTAACGATGCTTCTTCCTCTCCTGCTAACGATGCTTCTTCCTCTTCTGCTAACGATGCTTCTTCCTCTTCTGCTAACGATGCTTCTTCCTCTTCTGCTAACGATGCTTCTTCCTCTTCTGCTAACGATGCTTCTTCCTCTTCTGCTAACGATGCTTCTTCCTCTCCTTCTAACGATGCTTCTTCCTCTCTCTGCTAACGATGCTTCTTCCTCTTCTTCTTCCTCTTCTGCTAACGATGCTTCTTCCTCTCCTGCTAACGATGCTTCTTCCTCTTCTGCTAACGATTCTTTCTAGCTTCTTCCTCTTCTGCTAACGATGCTTCTTCCTCTTAACTGCTTCCCTCCTTCTAACGATGCTTCTTCCTCTTCTGCTAACGATGCTTCTTCCTCTTCTGCTAACGATGCTTCTTCCTCTCCTTCTAACGATGCTTCTTCCTCTTCTGCTAACGATGCTTCTTCCCCTCCTTCTATCGATGCTTCTTCCTCTCCTGCTAACGATGCTTCTTCCTCTTCTGCTAACGATGCTTCTTCCTCTTCTGCTAACGATGCTTCTTCCTCTTCTGCTAACGATGCTTCTTCCTCTCCTGCTAACGATGCTTCTTCCTCTTCTTCTAACGATGCTTCTTCCTCTTCTGCTAACGATGCTTCTTCCTCTTCTGCTAACGATGCTTCTTCCTCTCCTGCTAACGATGCTTCTTCCCCTCCTTCTAACGATGCTTCTTCCTCTCTTCTAACGATGCTTCTTCCTCTCCTGCTAACGATGCTTCTTCCCTCTTCTAACGATGCTTCTTCCTCTTCTGCTAACGATGCTTCTTCCTCTTCTGCTAACGATGCTTCTTCCTCTTCTGCTAACGATGCTTCTTCCTCTTCTGCTAACGATGCTTCTTCCTCTTCTGCTAACGATGCTTCTTCCTCTCCTGCTAACGATGCTTCTTCCCCTCCTTCTAACGATGCTTCTTCCTCTTCTGCTAACGATGCTTCTTCCCCTCCTTCTAACGATGCTTCCTCCTCTTCTGCTAACGATGCTTCTTCCTCTCCTGCTAACGGCACTTCTTCCTCTCCTGCTAACGATGCTTCTTCCTCTCCTGCTAACGACGCTGCTTCTTCTCGCTACCAACGCTTCTTCCTCTCTCTAACGACACTCCCCTTTAGATAGCGTAGCTTCTTCCTCTCGCTAACGACGCTGCTCCCCTCTCGAGAACAACGCTTCTCCTCCCGCTAGCAACGCACCGCTGCTGCCAACAATGACGTTGCTACCTTGCTTAGCCTTTTTCTGTAGATAACGTCTCTTGTCCTTCCGCTTATATAACGAGTTTTTTCTTTCGATCGTGGAACTTCTCTCGCTGACGACGTTTCTTCTCTCCTCTTTGCCGCTCTCCTACTTCCTCAACACTAGTGCTGGCATATTGCCAAAGCAGCGTAAAACTACTCATAAACATATACTTGCTACCTCGTTCACTCTGGGTATATCCAGATACATTAAGGTGGGTATATCCAGGTACATTAAGCTGGGTATATCCACATACATTAAGGTACCCAGGTACATTAAGCTGGGTATATCCACATACATTAAGGTGGGTATATCCACATACATTAAGCTGGGTATATCCACATACATTAACCTGGGTATATCCAGATACATTAACCTGGGTATATCCAGATACATTAACCTGGGTATATTAAGATACATTAAGCTGGGTATATTAAGATACATTAAGGTGGGTATATCCAGATACATTAAGGTGGGTATATCCAGATACATTAAGCTGAGTATATCCAGATACATTAAGCTGGGTATATCCAGATTCATTAAGGTTGGTATATCCAGATATATTAAGGTGGGTATATCCAAATACATAAAGGGGGGTATATCCAGATACATTAAGGTGGGTATATCCAGATACATAAAGTCGGGTATATCCAGATACATTTAGCTGGGTATATTAAGATACATTAAGGTGGGTATATTAAGATAGATTAAGGTGGGTATATCCAGATACATTAAACTGGGTATATCCAGATATACTAAGGTGGGTATATCCAGATACATTAAACTGGGTATATCCACATACATTAAGGTGGGCATATCCAGATACATTAAGCTATATCCACATACATTAACCTGGGTATATCCACATACATTAAGCTGGGTATATCCACATACATTAAGCTGGGTATATCCAGACACATTAAGCTGGGTATATCAAAATACATTAAGGTGGGTATATCCAGATACATTAACCTGGGTATATCCAGATACATTAAGCTGGGTATATTAAGATACATTAAGCTGGGTATATTAAGATACATTAAGCTCGGTATATCCAGATACATTAAGGTGGGTATATCCAGATACATTAAGCTTGGTATATCCAGGTACATTATGGTGGGTATATCCAGATACATTATGGTGGGTATATCCAGATACATTATGGTGGATATATTCAGATACATTATGGTGGGTATATCCAGATACATTAAGCTGGGTATATCCAGGTACATTATGGTGGGTATATCCAGATACATTATGGTGGGTATATCCAGATACATTAAGCTGGGTATATCCAGATACATTAAGGTGGGTATATCCAGATACATTATGGTGTGTCTACCCAGATACTGTTGGCTATATATACTCAGATACTTCTGAATTTCCTTATAATTCATTTATCTACAAGGAATAACAAAAAAAACGTAAAACGAAGTACAATATTAATCTTTTGATATTTTTTATCTTTCAGTTTGTATTCAGTCAAGTGACGTAGACAGGAGTCACAGAAACTGTAAAACAAACACAGTCTCCTTTTATCCCCACAAAGTTACAACGAAAATCTTTTATGTACGGAACCCGCGACGGAAATAGCGCTAACCTCTCATACAGAATGCATTTCGTTACCCCCCGGATTAGCGTCAGTGGTAGCGGAAACTCCCCATGCATGGTCCTGGGGTTTCACGGAGTGCAGTGCTACTTTGCTTTGCATAGGATACATATATAGTCAAAGCGAAACAAACAAGCTTCTTGTAAGTGCGAAGTGAAAAGTTGTTTGAGAGTGTTTCCCCTGGCCAAAGACGCCCGAATCCCCCGTGGTCGACGCCAGGATGTCTGGGGCTACGTCACCTTCATTATGCTGTGGGCGACACGTCGTCAATAGAACAACACAGCTACAAGCTTCAATAACTCAAATCCCCTGCCTCTCAATACTCGGGACGATCTGGTGAAATATCCACGACTTGTAATTCGTACAAGTGGATTTTATAGTGAATACCTGTTCAGTGGCATTGTTCGCGACAAAGGACAGTGATCGTTCTCACTTCTTCATGGCCGACACACACAACTTCAGTTTCTATACGCCATGACGGGGACGGCTCCACGCCTTCAGTGTCAACTTAACGCGATCTCCACGCCTGAGGTAATACATCTTATAACACCGTCTTCAGATACAAAATATTGCGTAAGTATTGGATTTGGAATGAAATCAAGCACGGATATAGGCTACGTGTATATACATACCATTCGGAGATATTTACTGCAGGTCTTACCCAAGTGAAGTTCCGTACCGCAGTTCAAATTAATTTCATTTGAATTTCCATTCCACAACCTGTGACAGATTCCATTGACGAGATTCTCAGCTTCGCCCTCGTGTCTCCGGGTGTGTACATTCACAGAGTGGTCGTTGTCCACATCTGATACAGATCTCCTATAGGACTATAGGAATGGCCAGTACAATTACGAGGGGTGGTGGTGTAGCCTAGTGGTTAAAGCGTTTGCCCGTCACGCCGAAGCCCCGGGTTCGATTCCCCACATGGGTAGAATGTGGGTAGACGCCCATTTCTGGTGCCTCCCGCCGTGATAGTGCTGGAATGTTGCTAAAAGCGGCGTAAAACCATACTCACTCCACCGCCCCGCATGTCTGTGGACAGTCAGTGGGTACCGTAATTACGTTGAGACAATGTGTTAAATAAAAGTCATCAATTATAATTTATTGATCAAGTTTAACTGATGATGTCATGTTCCTGTGCAGTAGTGTGCCTTTAAAGCAGCGTTAAACTTAACTCACTCACTCACATAGTCTGACCCACAGTCCAACATTGTAACCCCTTCCACCCAACCCGTTCTGCAATCTAAAAGCTCTGGTTGAAGCAACCAGAGCTCCTCTGGCTCAGCTTCTGAATCTCAGAGCTACTGGGCCGCCTTTTCAATTTAAATGGACTTATTTGTGTGTATCAGAATTACATCTATTCTGAGACTAAGCCTTAGTTTGTCAATTCTTGCTTGTTCAAAGGATGTTCAATGTACTTTCGACTCGACTCATAAGACATGTCAGAGGTTATGCAATTCCAATATCTGGTTCTGAAATCCTTATAGTAAACACATGTCAGTTTCCGCGTTCTGTTGTGAGGATCGGTTGTAGATGAGGGAAGATGTCCTGACAAGGTGCGCCTCATTGTAGACACAGCGACAAGAAGAGATAGCATCACCACAGATCAACGTCAGCCCTCCATCTGCTGTATCCGATGAAGGACGGAGATCAGAGCTGGCTACACTGGACAATGGTCAGTGCTCGTTGGTGACAGGGGGACAGGCTCCCACTCACGCCCCTCATCACACCCGTGGACGGACAGACCCGGTAGGGTCAACTTGACTCTTCCATTCACGGGTGCGTGACGGCGGACGATACAGAAGAAGAAGATTTAGAAGAAGAAATATATTTTATAATAGTGTCACGTGCCGATTTACAAAAATACACACAGACAAAACACTGATATGCTGATTTCGTTAAAACTATTCTTTATGATTACACAATGACATTTAGAAAATGGTCAAATGTAACATATGTTATATTTGGGATGAGTAAAGTACAGATTCTAGTACTTTTGTTGAGTTGAGACCCATCCGGGATTCGAACCCACACCCTCAGAGTCAGGCACCTAATTGCAAGCACACTAAGAACGTGTAATCCCAAATATAACATCTGTAACTATTCTTTAGTTAAAATAACGTACATATATTTAATCTGTACGCTATTTTAACTTAAGAATAGTTTATCAGACACAAATCTCACCCTAGTGTCTGTATCTAATATATCGTTTATAGTTTAAAAGTCTGAGGAACGTTCATGTTGATCTTTTCGATGTCTCCAGCCAGGACTGTGAGAATCAAGTTATCATCCAAAGTTACTCTGTCTACGTATTCAGTTTGTGAGCTCTTGTAGCCATTATCATATACCTACGTCAAAGGTCAATATTGTTTTTCTCGGATCAGTACAAAACACAGGTGTTGTCATCCGGAGAAGTCTAAAACTGTATCCTGTTTTGAGTGTACCGTTAGAAAAAGCTTCAGGGACAGGGATTGGCGTTGTCGTGACGTCGCAGTATTCTAAAAATAACTGTGGCACAAACTTTCAGGAATACATCACTTGATCTCAACCAATCATCTAATGTTGAAGACATTTGGAGATGATAAATGTAGTTGGTGCATTTTTTTTGTTTTTCAATGTATATCCTATGTTTTACCCTGAAATGGGACATGTAATATACTTTAACCGAACACTTGATAAACGATATTTTTTCCTGACATTATTCGTACTGTGAACCAATGAGTTGGAAATTTAAAAAACAAGAACCTGCACGTATTCATTGTGTTTGTTTGTAGATTTGAAGATAGTCAAAAGTCAAAACAATATTGGCGTTGTGCTGTATCTTCTTGTACACAGCTTCCTGCATCAGCTCGCAATCTATGAGTGAGTGAGTTTACTTTTACGCAATATTCAAGCTCTATCGCGGCGGTCTGGACCAGACAGTCCAGTGATCAACAGCATGAGCATCGATCTACACAATTGGGATACGATGACATGTGTCAACCAAGTCAGCGAGCCTGGCCACCCAATCCCGTTAGTAGCCTCTTACGACAAGCATGGGTCACTGAAGATCAATTCTACCCCGGATCTTCACGGGTTCGCCATCTATGTGAAGGCTTGGTACCCTGGTCAAAGTGTTCGATCGTTGCGCCAAACATCCGGGTTTGATTCCTCGTGGGTTAAAGGCCAATGTACCCCGTGGGTCGTTACCCTCTGCATCAACTGTCTTGTCCAAACCTGCTGCCGTCATACAGCTGGCATGTTGATGACTGGGATGTGACAAACAAGTATGACAAATACATCTACTGTGGAAAACGTAAAACTAAAAATATTTACTCCGAGTTGAGCCAGTTCCATGACGATATGTTGATGTGTTGTTACAGAAAACAAAACAACCTACGGTTCTAACGAACTCAAAGAGACTTCTGATTCTATTCTGCTGCAACAGTTGTTCGTTTTACGCATTTATAACAGTTTGTTATAACAGTTTGTTATAACAGTTTGTTACAAACATGTTGGTTACAGATGTTGTTTACTGTACGTCATGTTTAACAGAAAAAAAACAACATACCGTATTCCTCTAATAATTATTTATTAATTTGTCTTTTCAATGGACTCCAGACCCGGCGGTTATTGGAGACCCGGCGCTTATAGAAGTTCCAATGGAAATAAATATAGATTCTCCATTGGTATTTTATTTGAAAACTCCTCTGTAAACATGTGGCACACCTGGTGCTTATTGGAGACCCGGCTGTTATTGGAGACCCGGCTGTTATTGGAGACCCGGCTGTTATTGGAGATCTGGCTCTTATTGGAGATCTGGCTCTTATTGGAGACCCGGGGCTTACTAGAGGAAATACGATACATAATATTCCAATGAGGAAAAAGTCTTTAACAACATTTCCATCCGCTGTGGATCAGCCTGTGTCGTCCCATAACTGAATAAGATATGTCTCGACCCAATGCATAGTGGGCCTGAACGCATCTAAACCCCATTCTGTAGCACATGATATAAACGCTATTCACGGTTCTTGTTAAATGTTACTTTTGTTTTTTTTTTCCCTTGCAATTTAACACCGCCCCCAAACCATTCCAACTATATGACAATGATCTGTAAATTCATTGTAATCGAGTATGGACCAGACATTCCAGTGATTGATATTGTTAGGAATTTTATCTCCTGAGCCTGGTCCATTAGGTCGCCCGTTATGACAATCATCGGATGGTGTGGATCATCCCTACATCCCTGCCAGTGTTACATATCAAGTGACTGTCTTATAAACAGTGCCTCTAAAGTCTTACATACGTTCATCTTAAAATTCTAATTTGCATATATGAACAAACGAAAAATAACACACATCAAACGAACACATAACACAAAGCATTGCTTCCTTACAGTTTCCCCACGTTAATACGGACGGATGATATAGCGGACACCCGTTTCACGTTTACCTGCCCACCATTATACACATTCATTGACATACGAGGGCTGAATGAACCACTTTGGGAAACAACCAGAAAATATTAATTACACATATTTTAATAACAACTTCACACAAAAAATGAAATTCTGTTTCTTCTGAATCCCGCATAACATTTAAAATGCTGAAAACAAATGTTGTAAATCATAATTTTACTTTTATTTTTCTCACTTAAGAGACCTATGTTGAAGTATATGTTGGCTTTTGATAATGAAATCTTCAACGCATAGCCCCGGAAGTGAAATAACAAAAACTACCGCACGTTGATTCAATTTTACATAACGTTGTGACGGATATGACTTCAATAACTCACAAAACCTTCTAAATGTCTTTTGTTTTAATGCGTGTCGATAAACCACATGTTTCACACATAACACATTATTCCTTTCTAGCTGTTTAACGACACGAACTGCGATTGTTCTAATTCCAAAACTTTGTTTTTGTGTAAAAACTATCTGACGTGGAGGATGAACTTGGGAGTTACAAATCACCACGGGCAGAGTCAGAGTGCTTCAATTTCACAAGTGGCGCCACCTAGGCGCCTTATATTAATAGAAACGGTGATCTGATTGTCGACCTGCCACTCCAACACCAGGAAACAGGGTTCGATTCCCGAAGGTAACGAGTTTTTGCACCCTATATCCCTAATTCGATATCTGTAAAGATCGGCGTTCAAACGAGATATATAAGAGGTAGCATTTCTCTCTGCTCAGCTCGGAGGACGGGGAAAGAGGTTTAGATGTACTATGTATAATAATGGGGAGTCCGTTGAAGTAATATAATTGAATATATCTGTAATTGATTGATATCGCATCTCATCAGTCGGTGCCAATCACTGAATTATTTCAATCAAAATGTGTGTCAAATATATATTGGAACATGTCTTAAGACGAGAGGATAACTCGCGGTGTAATGATATCGTGCTTTCAATTTCATATAATGCGTAATTCATTTCGGGATGTTTTACGACAAAATAGTGCTGAGCAAAATCTCGATAATACGAAGTCGAGATTCTATGTTTTTAATTTAATAAAATTGTTTTTATATTGGAATATGTTGGCAGCTGTGACCACAGCATTGAGATATTCTTCATAAGCTTGTCTTAATCTTGTCGTCGTATTTGTTAAAATTTCACACCCACCCATCCTCCTCCTCCTCATCATCATCATCACTACCACCACCACCATCATCATCATCATCACTACCACCACCACCATCATCATCACTACCACCACCACCACCATCATCATCACTACCACCACCACCATCATCATCATCATCGTCATCATCACTACACCACCACCATCGTCATCATCGTCATCATCACTACTTCACCACCACCATCATCATCACTCCACCACCATCATCATCATCATACCACCACCACCATCATCATCGTCATCATCACTACCACCACCATCATCATCATCATCACTACCACCACCACAATCATCATCATCATCATCATCATCACTACCACCACCACCATCATCGTCATCATCACTATCATCATCATCACTACCACCACCATCATCATCATCATCTCACCACCACCACCACCATCATCATCATCATCATCATCATTCATCACCACCACCACCATCATCGTCATCATCATCACTACCACCACCACCACCATCATCACCACCACCACCACCATCATCATCACCACCATCATCATCATCACTACCACCACCACCATCATCATCATCATCGTCATCATCACTACCACCACCACCATCATCATCACTCACCACCACCACCATCATCATCATCATCCACCACCATCATCATCATCACCACCTACCACCACCATCGTCATCATCACTACCACCACCATCATCATCATCACTACCACCACCACCATCATCATCATCATCATCACTACCACCACCACCATCATCATCGTCATCATCACTACCACCACCATCATCATCATCACTACCACCACCACCATCATCATCATCATCATCATCACTACCACCACCACCACCATCATCATCATCACTACCACCACCATCATCATCATCACTACCACCACCACCACCATCATCATCATCATCACTACCACCACCACCATCATCATCATCATCACTACCACCACCATCATCATCATCATCATCACTACCACCACCACCATCATCATCATCATCGTCATTATCACTACCACCACCACCACCATCATCATCATCACTACCACCACCATCATCATCATCATCATCACTACCACCACCATCACCATCATCATCACTACCACCACCACCATCATCATCATCATCATCATCGTCGTCGTCGCCGTCGTGGTCATAGAAATCCATCTGTCACTCCATCTTAAAGATGGCCTTCATTTAAGATAATTTCAATTTAGTTTCATGATACATGTATATATATATATGTACAGATCATCGCCAAGTTGAATGTTGCATATATGTGCACGATATCGCCCCTAAAAGGAGTACCACCTCATAGTTTGTTGCAGGGGCGGTGGGGTAGTCTAGTGGTTAAAGCGTTGGCTCGTCACGCCGAAGACCCGGGTTCGAATCCCCACATTGGTACAATGAGTGAAGCCCATTTCTGGTGTCCCCCACGGTGATATTGCTGGAATATTGCTAAAAGCGGCGTAAAACCAAACTCAGTCAGTCAGTCAGTCATAGTTTGTTGCCAGCGCGATGATATACTTCAGATTCATGTTAAATATTTCACATGTGAAAGCATTGGCGTACATTTCGTAGTCATCAAATTTAAAGTCCATAATAATTCCGAGGACTATATAAACTGAGGCGTAAAAAAAGCATACATTTATTGCTGGATTGGACCCCAGAAATCAGAAAAGTTATGAAAACGTCACAAGGCTGGAAATATTTGAACAATTCAAACATAGGGATCAAAACACAGCCATGATACATGCATCGCGCCATCCAATACCCACTGCTTGTTGGTTTCATGTTGATCTTAGCCACCGTCAAACACGGGTGTATATTTTCTTTAGGACTTCAGTTTATGTGACACGGCTGAGAGTCGGTCGCCCACCATCATGACAAAATAAACGTTACAACAAATATTGCCCTTACACTGCAGCCGTCATGTTCCGACGTCAAACAAGCACAAACCTTATCGTGTAATCTCTCTTTGACAAAACGCTCAATTCAACACAAAACCTCTCGTCCAAACTGTACGAGGTGGAATAAGTTAAAACGTGTTATTTAGAGATTAGAAGCAAGGAATATACGATATGTTTATGTATCTCCCTATGCGCCGATAGGCAAATACCGCAACAGCGTCAATGAAATCTTGCAATAGCGTTATTTACATTTATAACAGACTACACAATACTACAAGTAACGCCTAAACCTAGAGAATAAGGCCAAATATATGATGACCTCGATAGATCAACATTGTGCCAATACACCCGTATTGCTCGACAGATTTCCACATTGTACTGGGAGAGGCATTTGACTACGTATTGTAGCCGTAGACAACGGAGCTGTTGATACAGGGTTTTGTTTCAATTGCGTATTGTGCGCGATCCGAGCATAGCCAGGCCGAACTGCGCTGCAGGGGGGCCACATCAAAGGGAGCCGATGGCAGCGTCCGTTTACCTGTCGAAACACCTGTGTTTGACGCTGGTTGGGGGTAATTGCCTGAAATTGGACAAGAGGGATGTGGTCAGTGTGATGGTCGAATGACAAGTTTATTACACGGGTGGTGGTGATTTTGAAATTAAAATACAGGTATAGGGGAAGATACCTGGAATTTCACTCTGGGAATAGATTGGAAATTAGGCGCTGGCAGATTACGGCGGCCGATAGCGTCAATAACTGTCACATGATTGTGGTGGAGGACGTAGACGATGATGTTGGGATGACGTTGCTGTTGTTGTGATAGCTGAATCGAAATAGGAAGTCATGATCTAGTGTAAATTATGATCATTCGCTCTGATTTCCATTCAATGTAAAACAGCGTGGGAAGTGTGTGTGTGTGTGTGTGTGTGAGAGAGAGATTCTATATTGTGTTCGTGCATAACGTACGGAGATTTAGATTGAAAATATCAAGTTTAGTTTACATATTATCATTTTTTAAAATACCACATTTGCGAATATTTCGGGTGAAAGATATTTTTTCGATTTTAACATTGCCATAGGCCAACACAGAGCGATGATTTGTTCGTCAGTGTTTTATGACCGAGAAATGAGAAGCTGGCGGCAATATTAATTTTCTTTCTTCTAAATTCAAATACTCATATAAAATTCTTCAAGTAGATGTACGCCTTTCTCCATGTTGTTTTTAGAAGAGTTGTTTTTCACAAGTTGTATTCTACAACGCATATATTGTCCTCGGACATACACCTGGAATCTGTGGTTTAAACAGACGCTTTAATATTTGAATCTTACTAGCACGCCCTATCTCAGGGTAGTAGATTGGTAGTTAAACACGAACTTTGAGCCTAATGATAAAATTTCTATAATCGATAAAATATTGTTAACCTATTAGAAAAACGAAAAAAAACCCCGGAGCGTTATTTGAGAGCATTGGTAATTTCACTGTAGAAAGACGCTCGAGAATAGAGTAGATGTAAAGCAGCCATACTTATCCAGATAATATCGCAGAATCGACAGCATCCATATTAACAAGATTACTGTGTATGAACAGATTAACACTTAAAGACGGGCCACTGTCGCAGTTTCCACACAATAATCTTCATCAATCACATGTCGACGTATTTGCCGTTCCTGATGTTTCGCCAAGTAATCGTCTAACTTGTAGTTGCGGTTAGGGTGGGTTCATGTTATTAATTCAGTTCCAGACATCACTTTATCAATTAATTTGTTATTAGATTATATCAGAACATAATCTATCAGCTGGTTGCAATTTGTAGTGTGTCATACAGATATGCGACAACTGTCACACCGTGACAATCAATGTGTCATACAAGCTGTGTCTGATCTCATTGAACCGGCGTCATTTCTTAACAATTTAATCAACGGATGAATTGTTGTCCAGCATTGCCATACATCGCGCAAAGGAAAGTCTGTGACTGAACCTCCACAACGCATTTGGCGATCAACCTCAAACAATGAATACGAATTAGACTTGTACGGCGCTTCAATCAGTTTCTCGCGAATTTTTATTTCGTTTAGCGGGTCGAGGCTTGTTGCTCGTATATTTTATTCAGGGCTAGGTATGATATAATATTTGTATATTACACGACATCACATAGAAGGAAATCCTCGAGCTTGGCATATCTTGGTACGGTATAAAAACAACCCCGCACGTGTATTCTTGTACAAACATATACACACTTAAATCATGACACATTACATATATTCTGGATTTGGTCACCCAAGGGAACCCTTTGCACATACACTGTGTTGACAGGCAACTTCACCGCCCCTCTCAAACCAAGAAACTCGCATGAAAGAAAAACAAACTGACAAGATCTAGACAGACAACTAAACGTGTCTATCTGCTCACACATCCATGTTGACTGCACATTACAAGACGGTTAGTTTGTAGTCCTTCACACGAATGAGAAAAATGACAACAAAACGAATGCGCTATAAAAGAAAAGTACACGTTTGAGGCCCACGTTCCGCCGATCAGGTTGGAGGACCTCTAACCCCTGATCTACAGCTCACTATTCAAGCAGCACCCCTCTGAAACCTATCCCACCTTACACTTTCTACCGGATAAAGATCCCGGCCACCGCGCGCGCTCTGCGTGCTCTTTACTCTACCCGAGCGGCTTACAGAGCTAGGACATGCTTGTTGACAGCGCAGTTATTGGACACAGTTTCGTATTAAGGTGTCATCAAACTCCTCTCCCCTCCCTTGCCATTATGCCATTGTTCCTTGGTATTTGGTACCGTAAAGTCTCAAAATGTTGCCACCCTTCGACATTGATAATGTTGATGTTCGTTGGCTATGTCTCATTCGAACAGATTGACAAAAGTAAAAAAAAAAACATTACTGGAGCACTTCTCTTATCATCATCATCATCATCATCGTCATCGTCGTCGTCGTCGTCGTCGTCGTCGTAGGCGTTGTCATAGAAACTCGATCTTCGCTGTCAGCAGCTGTAATGAAGGCATTGTTGACAGTAGCAGTAGTCATAGTAGTAGAAGTCTGTGCTGCAGTAGTCGTGGTGGTCGTGAAACAGTTGATGCTGCAGTTGTAAGCAGTAGTTGTGACTCACGCTTGCAATAAGCTGAAGCCTTGATCATCATCACCATTATCATGATCATCGTCACCATCAGCAGCAGCAGCAACAGCAACGTGACAGAGATGCCTTCATATGTATGCTCGTGTTCTATTCTGTTTCAACACTTTTCGACATTTTCTACACAAGATATCTATGTTATCAGGGTAGATTGTTTTGTTCAACATGAATGGACAAAGGCAGGCCTGCGTCTGCCAATACCAGGTCATTTTATACAAGGTTTATTCATTCCAGTGAAGCGAACATTTTGGCATATTCAAGTAGCCTGTACCCGATTCACTCGGGTCGTTTACAA